ACTTGTATCTCATCTTCCCAAGATTGCCATGATTTTTAGCATCTTCCTAAGAAAGTCATCATACTCCAAACCCTCGAGAATACTAAGATAACTTCCAGTAGATGGCGATCCCATGATCTCATTAACTCCATGAGGTAGACTAGGTCACAGGAAACTTTTATAACAACCTTTGCAGCAAACAGGAACAAGATTTCTCCACCTGCCTTACCAACTTGGTGAGCTCAGTGTCAAAGAGTTCTTTCTCTTTTGCACGATGTGTCTGTATAACAACGGCATTCAAATGGTCCTCAGAACGGTCATCATTTATCAGTCTGATCAGTATGCTTCCAAAACCAAGACACCGACCATGCGTTTTCCTGTGGCAGGCGAGAAATGCCTGAAGTATAGCGTAGCCGACAAGTGGTAAAAGACACATACAGGAAAATGAGACTGTTATTAGCCCCTCGTTTCACCCATAAGAGGCTTTTTCAAGTACATGATAAAGCCTCATGTAGGTAAAACGTACTAATAAAAGTCATGTGGCCCCTGCCTTTGACCTCTAGAAATCTTGTCCCTGCAAGTGTGCCTCTGGTACAGTTGTTCAGGGAATTGCTTCCTATGTCATTGTCTGTCTTAATTTTGAAGATAATGCGTTGTTGGGGTGTGTTTGGTGCCCTAATTTCCATATATGTAAGATGGGTATGATGTGCGAGGGGGTGTTGAACCTGGAAAAAAAAAATTAGATTTAGAAAGGACATAGGTAAGTACTGGTTTTCTAACAGAGTTGTAGATGCGTGGAACAGTCTTCCCAGTGGGGTGGTAGAAGCTAGGACCTTGAGTAGCTTTAAGAAGAGACTGGACAAATATATGAGTGGGAGGGGCTGGGTTTGAATGGTGTCATTGGGTATGGGAGTTATTTCTTGGGTAGCTTAGTTCACATTTCGTGCCACTAAGGTGCTGCCCTCTGTAGCCAGGCCTCTCGGTGGGCACGGCAGCCTGCCTGCCCTTGCCTCGCTCTCACACAGCGGCCTAGCAGGAAGACACAAGGCCTACTCCTAGCCCTCTCTCATGGGATGGCCCTGCCCAGGCCATGGGCACAACACACAAGCCTGTGTACCCACCACGACTTAACAATAAAGTAAGAAGCCTCCGAAGACGTATCATTTACTCCCCGCTACCAGAACACCAAATAATCCTTTTTTTTATAAATGGTGGAAAGCGGTGGTCGCAGCAGTGTGTTTGCCCAGAGAGAGGAAGGAAGGAATGAAGTTGTTCACTTCATCCCCCTTCACAACAAGCATCCGTCTCTCAATGAGTTATCCTGATGTCGTGTCTGCACGTTTGAGCATCCAGACTCAGGTACAAGCAGGATCCAGCCGAAATTTGCCGAAATTATTCGAGAATTGTAAGTGGCGTCCCAGTGACTCCACGCTACAGCGTCCCACGCTGTTTCTCAAGTCACATGTTCAGCGTCACTTTGTATGTTGCTGTTGTTGTTCAGCTCAGTACAGCTGTTTCAGCAAGCCAGAGGTGAGTTTTGTGGCGATTTCTGCGTCCAGTGTGAGTTCTCCACGTGTTTGTGGGAGGAAGTGGCCGCTCCTTGCCTCGCCCTGCTGTACTCTCACACCTCACCACACTACCATACACCACTCACCACTGCCCACTCCCTCTGCTGTTCTCTGCTGTTTTCCATGTGAATTCATTGCCAGAGCTGTGTATCCGAGTGCCCGAGGCCACTCGAAGCTACGTGGATCAGCATGCCACGTAGATCACAACACCACGTGGATCATGACGCCATGTGGGTGTGGACGATGTCACATAGATCTACCAGCCACATGAGTTACCAGATGTCCCAGGCCTCATGCTGTGGTCTGCTTCCTGCATCACATCGATGTCACCCATGATACTGCCCGACTTCATGACGTCACGATGTCTGCCTGACGTCACCTCGAGATGTCTGCTGACGTCAGTGCTGCTGATGTCACCTCACAACATCATGCCTGACATCACATGATGTCACCATCGAGTGTTCTGTAATTGTTTCAGTATTGTCGAGAAGATTGAGAGAAGATATATGTCGTGTGTTAATTAATTCCTCTCAGTCAGTGTTCTCACATTTTAGTATATGTCTTAGTGTCAGTTTTGAGCACAGAAAATTATCATTTGCTAGTTAAGCCATGTTGTACCACATATACCACAGGTGTGTAAAGTTTCCGTGTATCCAGTGAGGTCTGAGCCAGACCTGAGTAGCACCACTGTGCTAAGTCACCCGATGTGACCAGTGCGTTTGACAGTTATCAGTCAGCTCTGAGCGTATGAGCCCCATTTGTACAGAAAGCTCTTATGCTCGTCGCTCATAGATGTTCTGCAGAATCGTACCTGCTACGATTCCCATCGAGATTTGTTTCACTTCACCTCCAGACCTTCAGAGTGCAGTTATATGTAGAGAAACAAGTCTGGGGACGCTTAGACTAACCTCTGCTATAACTCCAACTACGAGAGAATGACACTCGTCAAGCCGCAGTTAGCCCTGTCGGCAGGCGCTGTGTCAGCCTCGTGTCACAAACTTCAGTGAGCTCCTGCACAAAGATGATGTCACTTTGACTGCTAGCTTGCTCACTGCAGTCTGGTGTATGATGTTACGACTCCCAGATGTTTCGCCCAGTCGTCTTTGCCACAACTCGCTCCACGCTCAACGGCAATGACAGCCCAGCTACAGTACCAGTCGAGAAGTGTCCTGAGTCGCTTGCCAGAAGTCCTGCCCAGTTGCCGAGTTTTGTCGACGCCTCACTCGAGGGCACCAGCATGTCGTGCCCCAGGTTGAGTGAAACCTGCAGTGACCCCTACGATGACTGCTTCACCGTTCCAGAGGAGACCGTAATCTGTTACGTCACAGCTCAGCCGCAGCGATGTCTCCTGTGTTGCAGTATCTGTCCAGACGCAGGAAGGCGTGCAGTGATGCCCTTCGACGCTCACTGCCTAAGACCACGATGTTTAGCACACCCACATGTTTTTTTCTTCCCTCCCTGTAGGAAGTTTTTTTTCATGTCCTTATGTATATGTTTTTTATTTTGTGTTCTGTGCCCTGTTCCTACAAGAGAGAGACCAAGTTTCTTTTACCACCAGTATTGTCGCATCGGGACGACGCGCGGTAGGTGGCCGAGCGTATGTAGACAGCCTGTACTGTCTGCACAGACAGCCCATGCTGTCTGCCAGCTTAGTTCACATTTTGCGCCACTAAGGTGCTGCCCTCTGTACCCAGGCCTCTCGGTGGGCATGGCAGCCTGCCTGCCCTTGCCTCGCTCTCACTCTCACAGCGGCCTAGCAGGAAGACACAAGGCCTACTCCTAGCTCTCTCTCGTGGGATGGCCCTGCCCGGGCCATGGGCACAACACACAAGCCTGTGTACCCACCACGACTTTTCAATAAGCAAAGAAGCCTCCGAAGACGTATCATTTACCACCCGCTACCAGCCTACCAATTAATCTCATTAAACAAAAGTTCCTGGAGAGCGAAACGTTGCCACAATAAGATGTCACATTAATTGCACTTGTGTCCTTATAACATATTGTCGGTAATTCAACCAATATTGAATATAATAAAAGTCACCTATTGCTGCAAGTGTGTTCTTAACACTTCACAACTGTGTCGCTCAAACATATTAGTAATGCATCTGCGAGAAGTATCATTATGTCAAAACTAAGTAGTTGATGTACTCTTGCTACAACCCAGATCATGAATCGACATCATTATCACTTGTGATATATTTGCTATAACTTCTCAATAAGTGACTGATGAATATCAATTACCAATAATAATACAATCTAAATGATATTATCGAGGATATTTACAACTGCACAAAATCAGCATGAAAACCGTACAATTTGGCAACATTATAATTATTAATAAATGTTAACTGTCTTTCTACTGTGGTGGTTTCGGCTGAATTGGCAGAGTAAGTCAGTGTGGTGGACTCAGGAATGTCAGTGGCTTACTGCGTGATCAGTCGATACATTCTCTGTACGTATACACACACACCCACACACACACACGAAGCGGGGCCAGGAGCTGTGAATCGACCCCTGAAACCACAATTAGATGAGTACACACACACACAGAGCGAGAGAGCAATAAATGCATTCCTAGGGGTTAGCGATGTGTTGTAGGACATATTCCTGGTCCCTCAGTGGAAATAAACAGGTCCCTCAGTGGAAATAAGCCAACTTCTTGACTTTCTTGGGTTATCTGGGTTACTAACCCTCTGGGATATCTGTCGAATTAAAACATCTTCAGAGTAAGAGTGAACAAGCGCTGATCTAGTTACTACAAATAGTGTCTCTGTCTCTGTCTTTGTCTCTCTCTCTCTCTCTCTCTCTCTCTCTCACACACAACACACACACACACAAACTTGAAAATAACAAGTACAGAGGTTCGCCAGGCAGATGGTGGCAGAACTGAGAAACAAGTTTAAGAAATAAAGTTAGCAAGAACTGAACCTCACGATTTCGGACACATGCAGAACAAGAGATATAATCGAGATACAGAAAGTAGTCTGTGGCATAGTGTAGACAAGGACACAATGGGAAGGACCAGACGGTGACAAACACACATAAGAAAAGAATACTCAAAGAAGTTACAGAAATGTTGAGAAATATATTATAGGAAAGAAATGAAAGGATGTGGGGACGTACATACCTGAGCCTACACCACAGCTTTAAGTTAAAGACAGATATAAGTGAGATAGATCACGTCAAGTAATAGAATGTAAAGGAGGGGGCTCGGGAGCTGGAGCTCAACACCCACATTCATCTACATAACTGCACGTGTACATTTTCTGAAGACGGGAGTCTACATAGTTCAGTTCACATAACTCGAAAGAATTCCACCGGTCGATTTGTCAAGACCGAAGAGCTTGAGTTCGACCCCCCTGCGGACACAAGCAAGCTAGTACACACAAACATGCATGCAGGAAACTCGCACAAGTGACCAATAAACGAGGAGCCACACAAACTGTACTTCACCTGCCGTCATGGAGAGTAACAGAGCCCAGAGCACCACTCGCGCCGTCCACCGCATCCCTGCAGCAGCCTCCTCCTCTCTCACACTAATACTCTTTAACAGTTATCCTGCCGAACACTCGCGCTGACGGAGGCGGCGGAGCGGACTATAGGATCACACAAGGCACACAATCCTCTCAGTATGACGGTTAGGTACCTACTGACTAGTGGTTCGTCCGGTCCCGGGACCTAGCTACACACACACCGCGGGGCCCTGCACTCTCCCTCACCCCTACTGCTCTACCATTGATCACTCTACTCTTCTTCCCATTAGTTAAGTTTATCTAGGTACAGGCACATATAAGCAAAATTGTTATGCATAGTAATATATGTGGTGCACCGCATGCTAGTGGCTTTCTTTTGTGGTTTACAATATTTTATTACATGTAGACTACATTTTTGTGTCCTGCAGAAAAGAAATAAATTACCTAGAACCCCCCCCCCCCCCAAAAAAAAAAAAAAGTCAGACAGTGACTTATTTCCATTGGGGTAGTTGGATCCCATTATTAATAATCCAGGAGGATTAGTAGCCCTGGATAGTAGAAGAAAGCCAGTTAGTTTGGCTCTTTCAGCCGGAGTCCCTAAATCTTCCCTAAAGATGTGACCCACGACAGCCAGCTCACTTCTAGGTATCTATTTTTGTGATCAGTGAACAAGATAAGTAAGCAAGTTCATTTAGGTACAGTGTGTGCCTCTGCCATAAGGTTGTAAACGGTACATCACATGTACAATCTCCAACACTCCTTCGGGAGCCCGCATCTACTGTATCCCCGCATCTACTGTATCCCCGCATCTACTGTATCCCCGCATCTACTGTATCCCCGCATCTACTGTATCCCCGCATCTACTGTATCCCCGCATCTACTGTATCCCCGCATCTACTGTATCCCCGCATTTTACTGTATCCCCGCATCTACTGTATCCCCGCATCTACTGTATCCCCGCATCTACTGTATCCCCGCATCTACTGTATCCCCGCATCTACTGTTCCCCGCATCTACTGTATCCCCGCATCTACTGTATCCCCCATCTACTGTATCCCCGCATCTACTGTATCCCCGCATCTACTGTATCCCCGCATCTACTGTTATCCCCGCACCCTACTGTAATCCCCGCATCTACTGTATCCCGCCATCTACATGTATCCCCGCATCTACTGTATCCCCGCATCTACTGTATCCCCGCATCTACTGTATCCCCGCATCTACTGTATCCCCGCATCTACTGTATCCCCGCATCTACTGTATCCCGCATCTACTGTACCCCGCATCTACTGATCCCCGCATCTACTGTATCCCCGCATCTACTGTATCCCCGCATCTACTGTATCCCCGCATCTACTGTATCCCCGCATCTACTGTATCCCCGCATCTACTGTATCCCCGCATCTACTGTATCCCCGCATCTACTATCTCCTCCGTATCTATTGGAGAACTTGATGGTACGCTCATCATCCTACTTAATTAAGTCTCCCGGCTCAGGCTGACACATTTCGTTACCACCAGTGTGAAACATGTACAGGACCTGCACGTGTGTCTTATTCATTAAATTGTTGGTATTGTATACTATTAACGGAATGATTTAACTTAGATTAGTTGCTCCGCCTGAGTGGTGGGTAGTTTACTGTGCTCACAATGCTCATTCATCATGGAAGCGACAGCGTAACAAATAAGAGGTCACAATGGGTCTTTATCAGACTACACTGGGCATAGTTACATCACAGTAAATGTTAGTTATTCCATATAGTACAACATTACAATTCCTTCACAGTGTGAAATCCACCCTGTGCAAGACAGGAAACCGACAAGTTGAAGAATTGAGACACTTGTGCAACACATGGGAATCTTTATTGAAGAAACGTTTCGCCACACAGTGGCTTCATCAGTCCAATACAAAGTAGAAATGCCATTACCCGTTTCTACTTTGTATTGGACTGATGAAGCCACTGTGTGGCGAAACGTTTCTTCAATAAAGATTCCCATGTGTTGCGCAAGTGTCTCAATTCTTCAAGACAGGAAACATTGTTAGCATTTGTTCCTGTGTAGCCATTGTATTCAGTAGCGTAGCAATACAATTTTTATATTTGCTCAATAAAAGATGTTTAACTAGTACCAGGCTTATAATTATTAATCTAACGGTTATAATCAAACCATAATTTTAAATGGATGAACCGGTAAGCCAGCGGAAGGCCTCGGCCAGATGACCAAAAGCTCCAGCGGCGGGTCCTCATATGACTAAGACTCGTGTCAGGAAACACTTGTCCTGTTTCCTGACTAACCTAACCTAACCTAACCTAACCTAGTACCAGGTAAGCAAGGGAGTGAGAAGAAGCTGCCTCCCTGGAGATAGTTGCTGCAGTCATGGCCCCAGCGACCCAGTGTGAGACCAGGCTCGATGTAATGATACCTATCTCTCTTCCCTTCAAGGAAGGGAAGGGAGATTGCTCTTTGATTTTGGTGAAGGGCTCTTGACCCAGGAAAACTGAGCTACCCTTCCCTACTCTTCCCTCATTAAAACATAATTACGTTCTATTTTTCAAGCGTAGTATGACATCAATGGATTTAGCGGTTACCCATAATATAAGAATGCAATACAAGACGGTAGGGACAAAATAGGTCACTTAGTGGAATACGATATAGGCGGACAAGTGTTGGAAATGCCTTCTAGAGCTTAAGGAAAAAATTAAGACCCAGTAAACCACAGGTATACAGCCATTTCCCACCATTATTATCTCTCTCTTCTATAACGCATTCTAAAAATGAAAACGTTTATCCCTCACGAACTGTTTTACTCTTTAAAACCGATCACATTACTCGCCCATATGAAAGCATATATATTAAATACACTTGTATTTATTCTAAGAATAGGCACAGTTCCATAGTTTATCCACCCTTTTACACGATACAGTATATATATATATATATAAATATATATATATATATAATATATATATATATATATATATATATAATATATATAATATATATTATATATATATATATAATATATATATATATATATATATATATAATATATATATATATAATTATGAAAACTTCAGTACATACTTATAAAATATATAGAAATTTAATTTGTGTATTTTCTGGAAGTCAGACGTCAGCCTGGAGCACAAGATGTAGCAGACATCCTCTCTGATGAGAGAGACACTTATTCAACTTTACGTTTCTTTGTTGTCAAAACGTTTCGCCTGCACTGCAGGGTTCATCAGTCGAATAAAGTGGTGATGATAATACTGGAGACACTAGAGGTGGAGAGGTAGTTTTGAGGTAATCAGTCCCTCAGTTAGGATATAAAATGGTCAGTCTGTTTTAGAAGCAGGCATGAAGCCAGTGGCTTTTATACTGGAGCTGAAAGTAAGGTCATAGGTGGGAGGGGAGCCTATTAGTGGAAACTTAGCATGACCTTACACTGCAGGGCCCCGCTCACCTGTGACCCCATCTCCAGCTACACCTTCCAGCTCCAGTATATAAGCCATTGGTTTCACGTCTCTACTTTAATTAAACTGAGATTGACTCTCTTGTATCCTGAGGGACTGATAACCTCAACACTACCTCTCCACCTCTACTGTCTCCAGTTCATCCTCTACAATAGGCTTTATCGACTGATAAAGCCTACTATAGAGGATGAACGTCTCTGCAGTAAAGATACCTAACGTTACACATGTGTAACATTAACCTTTGTACGTCATTTATAATATATTCCTCTTTGAATCGCTACAGTGGTGGTTTCAATGAGCGTGAAATCCAGTACCTTGAACAAACCCACAGCCTGCCTTACCCAGGGGCCCAGAGATCTTTGGGATCCAGCACCTTGAACAAACCCACAGCCTGCCTTACCCAGGGGCCCAGAGATCTTTGGGATCCAGCACCTTGAACAAACCCACAACCTGCCTTACCCAGGGGCCCAGAGATCCTTTGGATCCAGCACCTTGAACAAACCCACAGCCTGCTTTACCCAGGGGCCCAGAGATCTTTGGGATTCAACACTCTGAACAAACCCACAGCCTGGTTTACCCAGAGGCCCAGAGATCTTTGGGATCCAGCACTCTGAATAAACCCACAGCCTGCCTTACCCAGAGGCCCAGAGATCTTTGGGATCCAGCACCTTGAACAAACCCACAGCCTGCCTTACCCAGGGGCCCAGAGATCTTTGGTATCCTACTGGGATTAAACTATACTGACGGCCCAAGCCCCTAAGTGCTGGACCTAACTCAGAGGAATTAAAAAAAACGAGCAGACTAAACCATAAAAATAGAGTATACAACCCGCATATAGGAAAGAGAAGCTTACGACGACCTTTCTGTTCTTCATCAAAATAGAGCTCTGCAATAGGCCACTAGCTTATACTTAGCTCATCTTAGGACCATAGATATCACAGGAATTTGAAAGGCGTCTCCATATTTCACTGCCCCCGATGTTTACTGAGCCATTGTAATTTATAAGTTTCGCTTCAAACTAAAATATATAGAACACAAAGGCACAATACCATGACTGGAACAATACAAAACCCGCACGTAAGAGAAAAACTTATGACGACATTTCGGTCCGACAAGTCGGGCCATTTTGTGTTATTTATGTAAGCCAAAACATTTTTAATATCCCTCCCAAACAATAAAGGAATTTTTTTCTCCCGAGGACCCGTTATGAAACCCAAAACATCTTAAAAGTGCTGCTGTGATTATGAAAAAAAAAGTTACATTAAGGCTAGGAGCTGTTATCCAACCTCTGCTCGTTTCCCCAGTCCTAGGTTATATTACCACCCCCAGGATGCAACCCACATCAGTCGACTGCCACCCAGGTACCTACTTACTTCAGGTGTAAAGTGACTAACACGTAGGTACCTATTTACTGCTACGTGAACAACAGGTGTAAGGAAACATGGCCAAAGTTTCACCCGTGCCGGGGATCGAACCACGGACACTCAGTATGCAGTGTTCCTTCTTTCTTATGTTCTTGTGAGTTTCAATCTATAATTTGCGGGTTATTTATGTGTTCTTCAGAAAAAATGCACTAAACCCGTAAGTAATAAAACACTGTACAATAGGACAGTGAACATCAACCACACCACACAGATAACGGTGACACGTAACAGTCATTGGCAACAGAAGAGAATGATCAGTTAACAGATAATCTGTTCAGAATAGATAAGTCACACACAAAACCGCATTGGTCGTTATCAAGGACAGGGTAGTAATCAAGGTCATGGTCGTTATCAAGGTCAGGGTAATTATCAAGGTAATGATTATCAAGATCGGGCCGTTATTAACGTCAGGGTCGTTATCAAGGTCAGGGCGTTATCGAGGTTCTTGGTCGTTATCAAAGGTTAGGGTCGTTATCAAGGTCATGATAGTTCTCAAAGTTTATGGTAGTTATCAAGGTTTATGGTAGTTATCAAGGTCAGGGTCGCTATCAAGATTATGATTGATATCAAGGTCATGGTCGTTATCAAGGTCATGGTAATTATTATAAAGGCCAGAGTAGTTATTAAGGTCATGGCAGTTATCAAGGCCATGACCGTTATCAAGGTTTACAGTCGTTATCAAGGTCATTATCAAGGTTATGGTCGTTATTAAGGTTCATGGTCATTATAAAAGTCAGGGTAGTTATCATGGTCATGGTCGTTATCAAAGGCCATGGTCGTTATCAAAGGTCATGATAGTTATCAAGGTTCGTGGTTGTTAGATAAGAGAGATAAGATTTCGTTCGGATTTTTAAACCCGGAGGGTTAGCCACCCAGGATAACCCAAGAAAGTCAGTGCGTCATCGAGGACTGTCTAACTTATTTCCATTGGGGTCCTTAATCTTGTCCCCCAGGATGCGACCCACACCAGTCGACTAACACCCGGTACCTATTTGCTGCTGGGTGAACAGGACAACAGGTGTAAGGAAACGTGTCGAAATGTTTCCACCCGCCGGGAATCGAACCCGGGCCCTCCGTGTGTGAAGCGGGAGCTTTAACCACCAGGCCACCGGGTCATGGTCGTTATCAAGGTTCTGGTCGTTATCAAGGTTCTGATAGTTATCAAGGTTATGGTTGTTATCAAGGTCATGGTCGTTATCAAAGGTCATGATAGTTATCAAGGTTCATGGTCGTTATCAAGGTTATGGTTGTTATCAAGGTCATGGTCGTTATCAAGGTCAGAGACGTTATCAGGTCATGCGTATCAAGGTTATGGTTGTTACAGGTCATGGTTTATCAAGGTAGTACGTATCGAACCAGTGGACGTAAAGATACATGGTGGAGGTAAACAAAGACTTAGTAGACGCAGAGATCCAGTACACATGTAGACCGATGGCGGAGTAAGGTTAAGCAAATTTTTATTCCCACAAGATACAGTAAACAAAGTTATTTAATAGCACCCATGGAGACCCCAGTGGAAATTAAGTCACTCTGACATTTTTCTGGATTTTCCTAGGTAATTTACATGTTACTAGGTATGATAATTGTAATTATGTGTACCTGCACTCGTATACATTTTTAAAGCCCCTGGTTATGCTGAGCACATCACACAAGATTAACAATTTAAACTACTGTGTGAACCTCATTCTTGGTATTATATATATATATATATATATATATATATATATATATATATATATATATATATATATATATATATATATACATATATATATATATATATATATATATATATATATATATATATATATATATATATATATATATATATATATATATATTATATGCTGAGAGAATAGGATATATTATCAGTGTATATATGTGAAGGGATATACTTATCCAGTGTATATATGCTGAGAGAAGGATATACTTATCCAGTGTATATATGCTGAGAGAAGGGATATACTTATCCCAGTGTATATATGCTGAGAGAAGGGATATACTTATCCCAGTGTATATATGCTGAGAGAAGGGATATACTTATCCCAGTGTATATATGCTGAGAGAAGGGATATACTTATCCCAGTGTATATATGCTGAGAGAAGGGATATACTTATCCCAGTGTATATATGCTGAGAGAAGGGATATACTTATCCCAGTGTATATATGCTGAGAGAAGGGATATACTTATCCCAGTGTATATATGCTGAGAGAAGGGATATACTTATCCCAGTGTATATATGCTGAGAGAAGGGATATACTTATCCCAGTGTATATATGCTGAGAGAAGGGATATACTTATCCCAGTGTATATATGCTGAGAGAAGGGATATACTTATCCCAGTGTATATATGCTGAGAGAAGGGATATACTTATCCCAGTGTATATATGCTGAGAGAGGGGATATACTTATCCTAGTGTATATATGCTGAGAGAAAGGATATACTTATCCCAGCGTATATACACTTGAGGTAAGATGTATATATATATATATATATATATATATATATTATTATATATATATATTATATATATTATATATATTATATATATATATATATATATATATATATTCCTGGTATATACCGTATTCACTGATGCATTGTACAGTGGGGCAGTATATTGGATCCTTCTGCTTGACTTGTTAGTGGGGTTTAAAGCCTATCTACTATACAAGTGTCCTTAAGTAAGTTTATTTAGGCACAGGTACACATAATGTAAATTACGTAATATAAATTACCTAAAATAACCCTCAAAAAAAAAGTCAAAGTGACTTATTCCCAATAGGGTCCATGACTAATTTCCATATCATCAGTAGTCAAGAATACTTTCATACTTAAATAAGGGGATTAAAGTAAACTCTGAGTATATATACACATAGGTAAATAATGTGGTGGGTGTATACATGGTGTAAAGTGTTGAGCCAGGTTGGGAACATACAGGGTCACCAGGTCATCACGACTGCCCTCAGGCCCACACGGGAACCTCCATTCAAATCTCTATCTAAACACATTTGACCTAAATTGATCAAAATCCCCCACACCGGCATAGAGGAAGTCAGTATATACCTATTTCTAGCCTTAACCCCTTCATTTAGAAACCACTGGTGTTGTTTTTATTGGTTATTAATAACAAAAAAGGGCAAAATAAGGGTAAAAGTGGGTAAATAATTTGAATTTGGGCGGGGGTGCATGAGGCAGCAGACGACGTAGAACTACAGATGTCCTTCAAAAATGCAGACGATATGTTCCAATAATATCCCTGGGATTTTTTTCCCATAAGTTGTGTCGGAGTTGTACTGTGGGTGTGATAAATTCCTCAATGGTATCATTGGGGAATTATTTTCGAGGCCATTACTGCGCTTACGTGTATTCTGAAAGAGGAGAGACGGTGAATAATTAATTGCTTGTGCGCACACACCGAAGTTATATGGCAGTGGTGGTCTAAAGTCGAAATATGGACGTAGCATGGACTTGCTGGCTAATACGTGTGTATTTATGCCATGGGAGATGCATGGTCGTTCCCACTAGCCAGAAAAACGACAATGCGTAGGTTTTAGAAGAAGAAAGTTAACCGCACCAAAAAATAGCACCAGTCAAAACCAAAATGGCAACTATCGATGGCTCGTCTGAGCAGACTGTGTCATGTAATGCGGAAAGATTAGTGCGTGTAGGCTATTATGAGTTCGAGAAGACCATCGGCAAGGGTAATTTTGCCGTGGTGAAGCTCGCAACACACAAAGTAACTCAGTCTAAGGTAAGGCATTGCCTCCCAGCGGTTTGTTTATCTTTCTCTCCTCTCCTGCCAGATCTTATCTTCCAATTTTTGGAGATTTTGGAGGGCCAGGGGGGTTATAATTAGGGAAGATTGGGTTTTAGTTTGAGGAGAGGTTAGGGGGTGGTGAAGGAAGAGGGAAGGTTGGGAATAAAATATGGGCTGGTGTGTTTGTGTTTATAACGGGTTGAACAACCATCTGTCTTAACCCCTCACAACCTCACTCGTATCCCTTTATGTCCCCTCACATCCCTTACCATCCCCTCATGTCTGTCTCGCATCCCTTTATATCCCCTTACAACCCCTCACAGCCACCTCCAACTCCTCAGGACCTCCTTATTTATCTATACATGACCATACAGCCCCTGCACAAATTCTCGCATCCCCTCACTTCTCCATCACCACACATCCCCTCACTTCTCCATCACTACACATCCCCTCACTGCTCCATCAGCACACATCCCCTCACTTCTCCATCAGCACACATCTCCTCACTTCTCCATCAGCACACATCCCTCACTTCTCCATCACCACACATCCCCTCACTTCTCCATCACTACACATCCCCTCACTGCTCCATCAGCACACATCCCCTCACTTCTCCATCAGCACACATCCCCTCACTTCTCCATCAGCACACATCCCCTCACTTCTCCATCAGCACACATCCCCTCACTTCTCCATCAGCACACATCCCCTCACTTCTCCATCAGCACACATCCCTCACTTCTCCATCAGCACACATCCCCTCACTTCTCCATCAGCACACATCCCCTCACTGCTCCATCAGCACACATCCCCTCACTTCTCCATCAGCACACATCCCCTCACTGCTCCATCAGCACACATCCCCTCACTTCTCCATCACCACACATCCCCTCACTTCTCCATCACCACACATCCCCTCACTTCTCCATCAGCACACATCCCCTCACTTCTCCATCAGCACACATCCCCTCACTTCTCCATCAGCACACATCCCCTCACTTCTCCATCAGCACACATCCCCTCACTTCTCCATCAGCACACATCCCCTCACTGCTCCATCAGCACACATCCCCTCACTTCTCCATCAGCACACATCCCTCACTTCTCCATCAGCACACATCCCCTCACTTCTCCATCAGCACACATCCCCTCACTTCTCCATCACCACACATCCCCTCACTTCTCCATCAGCACACATCCCCTCACTTCTCCATCACCACACATCCCCTCACTTCTCCATCACCACACATCCCCTCACTTCACCACCACACATCCCCTCACTTCTCCACCACCACACATCCCCTCACTTCACCACCACACATCCCCTCACTTTTCCATCACCACACATCCCTCACTTCTCCATCACTACACATCCCCTCACTGCTCCATCACCACACATCCCCTCACTTCTCCATCATCACACATCCCCTCACTTCTCCATCAGCACACATCCCCTCACTTCTCCATCAGCACACATCCCCTCACTTCATCACCACACATCCCTCACTTCTCCATCAGCACACATCCCCTCACTGCTCCATCAGCACACATCCCCTCACTTCTCCATCAGCACACATACCCTCACTGCTCCATCAGCACACATCCCCTCACTTCTCCATCAGCACACATCCCCTCACTTCTCCATCAGCACACATCCCCTCACTTCTCCATCAGCACACATCCCTCACTCCTCCATCAGCACACATCCCCTCACTTCTCCATCAGCACACATCCCCTCACTTCCCAACCACCACACATCCCCTCACTTTCCAACCACCACACATCCCCTCACTTCCCAACCACCACACATCCCCTCGCTTCACCACCACACATCCCCACACTTTCCAACCACCACACATCCCCTCACTTCTCAACCACCACACATCCCCACACTTTCCAACCACCACACATCCCCTCATTTCCCCAACCACCACACATCCCCTCACTTCCCAACCACCACACATCCCCTCACTTCCCAACCACCACACATCCCCTCACTTCCCAACCGCCACACATCCTCTCACTGGTCAGCCACAACACATCTCTCTTGTCAACCACAACATCTCCTCTTGCTTGTCAACCACAACACATCCCCTCACTTCTCAACCACCACACATCCCCTCACTTTCCAACCACCACACATCCCCTCACTTTCCAACCACCACACATCCCCTCACTTTCCAGCCACCACACATCCCCTCACTTCCCAACCACCACACATCCCCTCACTTCCCAACCGCCACACATCCCCTCACTTCCTAACTGCCACACATCCCCTCACTGGTCAGCCACAACACATCTCTTGTTTGTCAACCACAACATCTCTTGTTTGTCAACCACAACACATCCCCTCACTTCCCAACCACAACACATTCCCCTCACTTGTCAACCACAACACATTCCCCTCACTTGTTAACCACAACACTTTCTCTCCCTTTACAACTGCAACACATACCCTGACTTGTCTACTACAACACATCTCTTTGCTTTTCGGCCAAAACACTCATTTTCAACCCCTCACAATACATCCCCGCAGGATACCTTAACTCCTCACAGTACATCCCCTCAGGTTACCTCAACCCCTTACAAGACATCCCCGCATGTTACCTCAACCCTTCACAGTACATCGCCTCAGGTTACCTCAACCCCTTATAAGACATCCCCTCATGTTACGTTAACCCTTCACAATACATCCCCTCACCACACATCCCCTCGTGTTACCTCAACCTCTCACAACACATCCCTTCATGTTACCTCAATCCTTTACAATACATCCCCACATGTTACCTCCACCCCCTCACAACACATCCCCTCATTTTCTTTCAGCCCCTCACACCCTCACTTCCCCCACAGTCCCTCACATCAACTCACTTTCCCTCAATCCTACACAACATATTCTGTCACTTGATCAACTGGGCTGTGGTTTATATGTCGATTTGTGTGCAGCCAGCAGTAACAGCCTTGTTGATCAGGCCCTGATTTACTGCAAGGCTTGGTCACTGGCTGGTCCACAGGGACATTGACCCTCGAAACCCTCTCCAGGTATACTCCAAATATACTTCTTTCAACCTCTCTCAACACATCCCCTCACTTTACCCCTCAAGCATCAAGATACTTCCCAGTAAATAGGTATCTGGGTGTTAGCAAACTGTTGTCACTGGCATCCCGGGAAAGAGAACCAAAGTACCCAGATGGAAATTTGCCTGAATGCTTTCCTTTGTTGGGTTATTAATAACATATATATATATATATATATATATATATATATATATATATATATATATATATATATATATATATATATATATATATATATATATATATATATAATGCAAAGGAATGCATCCTGTTACATCCCCTCGCATCCTGTTACATCCCCTCGCATCCTGTTACATCCCCTCGCATCCTGTTACATCCCCTCGCATCCTGTTACATCCCCTCGCATCCTGTTACATCCCCTCGCATCCTGTTACATCCCCTCGCATCCTTGTTACATCCCCTCGCATCCTTGTTACACCCCTCACATCCTGTTACATCCCCTCGCATCCTGTTACATCCCCTCGCATCCTGTTACATCCCCCTCGCATCCTGTTACATCCCCTCACATCTGTTACATCCCCTCGCATCCTGTTACATCCCCTCGCATCCTGTTACAGCCCCTAGCTTCCTGTTATATCCCCTCACCCCCTGTTACATCCCCTCGCATCCTGTTACATCCCCTCACATCCTGTTACATCCCCTTGCATTCTGTTAAGTCCCCTTTTCATTCTGTTACATCCCCCTCACATCCTGTTATATTCCCTCACATCCTGTTATATTCCCTCACATCCTACTATATCCCCTCACATCCTGTTACATCCCTTTACATGCTGTAGCCTTCTCTAACATCCTATTATATCCCCTCTCATCCTGTTATATCCTCTCTCTTCCTATTATATCCCATCATATCCTATTACATCCACTTGCATCCTATTCCATCCTCTCACATCCTATTTCTTCCCCTCACATCCTATTACATCCCCTTAGATTCTGCTACATCCTTTCACATCCCCTCATATCCTGTTGCATATCCTCACATTATATTAAATCCTCTCACATTCTGTTACGCCTGGCTGACCAGGCAAGCACCAGACGAGCCTGGCCCATGGCCGGGCTCCAAGAGTAGTCAAACTCTCGAAGCTCTTCAAAGGTAAAGGTGAAAGTATATCCTCACATCCTATTGCATACCCTTACATCTTGTTACATCCCTTCACATTATATTACATCCCCTCGCATATCTATTACATCTCACATATTTCATCCATCTTGCATCCTATTACATTCCCTACACATCTTATTAATCCCTTCCCTCACATCCTATTGGTCCCCCTTGCATCTTATTACATCCCTCCTTACATTCTATTAATCCTCTCAAATCAGATTGCATCCCCCCCTCACATCCTGTTACATCCCCCCTCATTCTGTTACATCCCCCCCTCTCATTCTGTTACACCCCCTTACATTGTTACATCCCCCCTCACATTCTGTTACACCCCCCTTACATTGTTACATCACCCCTCACATTCTGTTACATCTCCCCCCTAGTTCTGTTACATCCCCCCCCTGCACATTCTATTACATCACTTCTTGCAACTTGTTATACTTTCTCTCATCCTGTTATATTCCCCTCATTCTCTCATGTCCCTCCCTTACAATTGCTTATTGTAGTTCAAATGGTAGTGGCATTAGCTCACACCAAGGGACTGGGCTCAATCTTGAGACAAGGGGAAATATTGGGCACATTTCCTTACACCTGATGTCCTTGGTCACCTAACAGTCAGTAGGTACCTGGGTGTTAGCCAACTGGTATACATCACATCCTGGGGAAGAGGATAAAGGACCCCAATGGAAATATGCCAGACAGTCTGATGACATGGCTTTCTTGGGTTATCCTTGGTTAATAACCCTCTGGGTTAAATTTATAATCTGATCAGAATCTCTCTTACATCTTGTATCCTGTTACAATTTCTGAACTTCCCCTCAGATCCCTTTTCAACCTGTAACATCCCATCCCAGTGTGTTACACTCCCTAACATCCTTTTACACCCCCCACCCCCCTCTCTACCTGTTGCATCAGAATTTGAAGGATAAAGTAAGCTAATATTTTCGGATTTTTAACTCGGAGGGTTAACCACCCAAGATAACCTAACAAAGTCTGTGTGTCATCAAGGACTGTCGGAATTTTCAATGGTGCCTTTAATCTGCTCACCCAGGATGGAACTCACAATAGCCTCTTAACACCCAGTTGAAAAGGGGTAGCAGGTGTAAGTCAGATATGTACAATGTTTGACCTGTGCCATGGAGCAATTCCCAATCCCTCAGTGTGTAAGCTGAGGATGTTATCAACCGAGCTCGGAGCACTGCAGTTGACCCACAACCAACCTGGTGGTGCATCTGGTACAACTCTGGGTTAACGCTATTCATGCATGTATATACATACTGTACAGTAAACTGCCAATAAAGAGAATGCTAAAGAGGCGAGACAGATTTGGCAGAGGGATGGCACCTTCAAAATGAGAACCATCTAAAATGTTACATTCTTTATCTGTTGGTTATCTGTTTGTGTATGATGAGAGGACAGGGTGTCAATAGACCTATAAAATTATCAGAATAAATTTTGATCATCTACTCAGTATTATCCAACTTAAGAAGCTCCAGAAAAGAAGAAAAGTTATTTGTACTCTATTTTTGTATAATGTAAATGACAAAAGACTTGCTAGTTTGAAAGATTGATGTTTGTTTAGGTTTAAATCATCACTGCCTTATATTAACTAGGATTTTAATTTTTTTTAAATGTCGCATCATACAGTTTACAAACGGTGTAGTGTATGCACACTGCAGTGACGTGATGTAGGCATACTGTAGGCTTTATTTTAATGTGTCCTTGTGGTATACAGTAATAGTCTCAAGTTGTGAACAATGAACCTCCAAAATGCTGGTCAGAGAGACCAATTAAATGTGTATGACTACTGATCTGAGCACGGATTAATTATAAAGGGGAAAGTATGATGCAATGGATGACTGAACGAATATGTTGCAACCAGTTGTAGCACCATGTTGAGTTCATTGGAGAACAGCTGTTCATCATGTCAGAAAAATACAAGAACAGTCCAGGTAGTATGTGTGTTGCAGAAAAGTAAATTGATAACTGTTAAGCTGAAACTTGACATATCTAAAAGATTTGAAAAAATGAAGCTCCATCTAGCATCTTCTGTGTGTACAGTGTAAACCAGTCTGCCATTGCAAAAATTTTTAAGACAAAAGCGTGTGCAGCATTTTGGCGTACATTAAAAGATATCCACCTATGCATTCTGCAACATTTTCCAAGAAGTGAAGTGTGGAAACTGAAATGGAAAAACTTTTCAGTATGTTAATACAGTATTAAGTAATTTATTTAGGCACAGGTAAACATAAATACAATTATCATGCTTAATGTAAATTACCCAGGATAGCCCAAAAAGTCAGTGACTTATTTCCATTGGGGTTCTTGTATGTGCTAAGAGTATATTTACTATACTTTCCACTACACCAGAGGAAGTGAGCAGTAAAAAATTGTGGAGGGGATAAATAAGGCCAGCAATAAATGTTCAGGAAAGATACGTTAATGTGTCATTCAATATGAGGACAGTTTTTTTTTTTGTTTTATTATCTATTCAGTACTGTAATATTTTTGTAGTATAGTACTGTATGTAAACAGTACAGTATGTATAAATACGGTGGTCTGCATGTTTATGATATAATAAAGTACAAATACAGTACAGTACTGTATATAAGATGAAAGTTAGGGGGATGGCATTGGAAATAAGAGATCATCTAAAACCTTGAACCCCTTTCCCTAAGGAAAACCGTGAAATACATTTACCATTTGCAAATTCTTAGATTGGTTAGGCAACTTGTATAAGTTGTTAGGCTTACTGCATTACTCTAAGGTCATGTGAACGGGAAAGACCTAAATGTACACACTGGGTAGTTGATTTTTGTTTAACATCTTTGTCATATTTTGATGTATATAAACCTGAGTTCTAGCTCATTTTTAATGCATGTAGTCTTAAAGAATTGTGGTCTGTTGAAGGAATTTTTTTTGTTTTGTTTTATAAAATGCTACCTCATTTTGTGTTCATAAGAATAAATTGGTTATAAAACCTGTGTTCTTCCCGCACTGTTGTTCATAAGGAAAAATTTTGTCCCTGGTTACCCCAGCAGAGTGTAAAAACTCTGAGAAGGATAGTAGCCTTCATCAGCTTGTGTCTGTGTACATGTGTTGTTCTTACTATATATTGATGTAAAGGATAATAAAATTTCACCCCAGTTTTTTCTTCCTCATTTTTTGCAGGTTGCCATCAAAATAATTGACAAAACAAAAATAGATGCTGATAATTTGAGAAAAATCCTCCGAGAAATAGAGATCTTGAAGAAATTAAGACATCCCTACATAATTCGGTTATATCAAGTGATGGAAACAGAGCGCATGATTTATCTTGTCACTGAATATGCCAGCTGTGGGGAATTGTTTGGTAAGTAGCTCTGAAATGCAGTACGGTGACTCCTTAGTGATGTTAGTAAACCTTTGTGTCTTATACTTGTTATGGAAAATAAGGGTGTGGGTGTGAATGGATTTATCATCAGGTAGTGTGGTCACATCCCTGAGCATTAAATAGTTTTAATTACTGAATAGTTAATATAATTATATGAGACAAATTATTTACATAATTAGTTTTAAAAAATCTTTCAGTGGCAGTTAAAATACTCTGGCAAATACAAACTGCAGTTTCACATTCTTTGGTTTAAGGCTAGTGCTTACAATATTCCTCTTCATCTTCTTTCTTCTTTCAACACACCAGCCGTATCCCACCAAGGCGGGGTAGCCCAAAAGGAAAAACAAAAGTTTCTCCTTTTACATTTAGTAATATATACAGGAGAAGGGGTTACTAGCCCCTTGCTCCTGGCATTTTAGTCACCTCTTACAACACGCATGGCTTACAGAGGAAAAATTCTGTTCCACTTCCCCATGGAGGTAAGAGGAAATGAACAAGAACTTGTAAGAAAATAGAAGAACACCCAGAGGGGTGTGTATATACTATATGCTTGTACATGTATGTGTAGTGTGACCTAAGTGTAAGTAGAAGTAGCAAGACATATATGAAACCTTGCATGTTCATGAGACAGAAAAAAAAAAGACACCAGCAATCCTACCATCATGTAAAACAATTACAGGCTTCTGTTTTACACTCGCTTGATTCCTCTTCATCTCTGAGTAATATTACTATATTATATGTAAGAAGCTATCTTAACAGAACTGTCTAGGGTTACAAAAGATTTTTAATTGCTTGCATTAATTGTTGATAGTTATTAAGATAGGCAAATTATCCAAATTCTCACTTCCTAAATTAATGTGCTAAAACAATATCTTCTGAGGTTTTAATTTATTATATTTAAAAGATTAGTATTATTAATTTTGACTGAGGGGAAAGGATTCATGAAATATTCATAATACATTCTGTTATTATTATTATTATTATTATTTTAGTCATTTTGGAAGCACTAAATTCATAGGAAAAAGGGAGATAATAATTTTTGATCCAAGGAAAGTGTGTTGCTCCAATTCCTTGGATCAAAAGCCATTTACCAACACCAAATCATCCTTCCCCCCATGAATGGAATACTGTACATTGCTGTACATATTTAAGTATCATACAGTGTAAGAAATATAATTACATTATTTTTGTCTCAGATTATGTTGCAACACACGGAAAGATGAGAGAGAGAGAAGCTCGGACAAAATTCATGCAGATTGTAGCAGCTCTGCGATATTGTCACAAACGTGGCATTGTACACAGAGATCTAAAAGCAGAAAATTTGCTCTTAGATAAGGACTTAAATATTAAACTTGCAGGCAAGTGTGTAATCTTGTATGCACATTTGTCTTATGTGTAATATTTTTCTCGGTATAGTTATGCTTAACATCTCATGTCTTGATATTATTGAGTCATAAATCTGATCAGTTCTTCCTTCTCTAGCACATTTTCATAAAGCTACACTTAAATAATAATCCCTTGTGCTATCAGTAAGATGTGTATACTGTACTTATATATATATTTTTTTTTACGTCATTATTTCTGCCAATGTGGGGTGACCCCAAAGAAGGAAGCACATTCAGCCTCGATCATTTAATGGCTGTCTTGCCAGAATTGCACAGACAGCATATTTCAAATTATGCTCTGAACTGCAACAGTGCAGGCATTATATTGTCCACCTCCAGAGCCTGAGTCAGGCAAACTGGTTTTCTGGAATTCCTTCATGTGTTACCATGCTCATTCCAACACCATGTCAAATTCCAAAAATCACTTTTCTCTACACACTCTGATCTTATACACTTTTACACATTACTGCTGAATATACATGCCATTACTGGGTAGAAGAGGCATTGAGCCAAGAAATAGATGAAAAAGACAGAACAACATAAGCTTTTATTATAAATGGTTTGAGGAAAATTTTAACATTGTTATAATAAAAGTTTATGTACTTTAGTGTCTTTTTCATCCAAACCCTTATTACTGAAACCCTTCTGCACACACTCCATCCATGCCTGCATCTTCCTCCATTCATTCATATATTTTTACATCTTAGTCAACCTAAATTGCTCCATCTGCTCTAATTAACCAAATCACGTCAATACCCCACTCTTCTGCTCCCAGAATTATAATTTTCATTTCACCATGAAATCAGCATCACCATAGTTAAGTATGTGAACCCATGCCATATATTTATAGCATTGCCAGGTAACCAGAAATAGCACCCAGGTCCTGTCAGCTATGGTTCCCTAATAAGGATGAAGTGATGTTTTGATTCATTTCATTCTTGCTTCACCTTCAGATGCATCACACTGGGGACATGTAGGAATATTTCATCAACTACTGTCGAGTGATTAAGTATTGATAATAAATATTGTACTGGTAGTATATGTAGATTTTTTTATAAATTATAACTAATTTTAGGCAGTGGTTTTTCAATGATTGTAAAAAAGATTTCTTTGTATGTAATAGTCTGGATGTTTTCGGTATATTGTATACACATATTAAAAAATGTTATACAAAGAGCACAATATACAGTACTGTACTATACAGTTGTCTTGGAAACCTAATTTATTCTTATCTTGGCTTGCAGACTTTGGGTTTAGCAACTTTTACACACCAGGAGAGCTGTTATCAACGTGGTGTGGCTCCCCTCCTTACGCTGCCCCAGAACTCTTCGAAGGCAAAGAGTATGATGGGCCCAAAGCTGATGTTTGGGTGAGATGAACCTTCTAAAGAGGTGTAGTTATTAAATGTTTAAATACTAGTTTTGAGCTTAAGAAAGATAACACTACACAGAATTTTTTAATATTGGTTACTGTAATTGGTTAAGATGTGCATTATAAAAAGGTTGTGTACTAGTTGACATTGTTTTAATTAGTATATGTTCTGCATACTGCTGATTATTAGTGTTCTAAACAGTAAAACGTGTAATTGCTTTCATGGCACATTTCATATGCAAGATAAAAGTTCAGTCAATATGCAAGCTCAACTTTGCATTTTTATTCTTTATTGATGTTGCAGTGAGGTTTAAAAAAAGAATTGTGATATTTGAATTTTTTTAAATGTTAGGTAGAAGCACTTATATAGCTATTTGCTTCTTAATAGTTTATCTAAGACTTGATTGAGGTTGCCCTTGCAGCTTTGCCTGTCATGTAGATGCTGTATGGCCCCTACAGGTTTAGCACTTCCCATGACTGTAATAATAATTTATAGCTTTGTTAATTTGACAACACAGTTTAGATTGTAATATCTCCTGTTTGTAAGAGGTAACTACTAAAGACTGTAATGCTGTCTATAGATCAGTGTTACATTACTTATCATTTATATGTTTACAAGATTTAAAACTTTCACTCCTATAAAATTTAGAATGTGTTTTCAGGTAAATCTCTACACATGTAATAACGTAAATTAAAAGTGCAAGTGAAAGCTTGTGATGATAAAACTGACTGCTGCTATACTGTAGTTTACTATATTGAGTGATAAGATAGAGAAGTACATCTACTGTTGTTTTTAGAGAATGAGACAAGTGACATTCGTTATCTCTACAATGTTGAAGTAAACAATGCAAGTTTTGTAGTAATATAGGTTGAATTTTGTATCCACTGACTAGTAGATTTTTAGGGATACTGTATATGCTCATTGTAGAAATTGACTTAAGATCAGCTACTCCAACATTGTAGAAATTGACTTAAGATCAGCTACTCCAACTGATGAATATTTGATGTGGCTTTGCAGAGTCTGGGAGTCATATTGTATGTGTTGGTGTGTGGATACCTGCCGTTTGATGCCAAAACCTTACAGACCTTGAGATCGCTCGTGGTAGCTGGAAAATTTAGAATACCATACTTCATGTCCTCAGGTGAGCTGCTGTCACTCTAATACTTGAAAACAGGATTTTCGTAGATTTTAGAAAGCAGGAATAAAATTAATGATGCTTTAATACTTCCAAGAATTCTTCTTTCTTTCAATGCACCGGCCGTATCTCACCAAGGCGGGGTGGCCCAATAGGAAAAACAAAAGTTTCTCCTTTTACATTTAGTAATATATACAGAAGAAGGGGTTACTAGCCTCTTGCTCCTGGCATTTTAGTTGCCTCTTATAACACGCATGGCTTACGGAGGAAGAATTCTGTTCTACTTCCCCATGGAGATAAGAGGAAATAAGAACAAGAACAAGTAACAAAATAAAAGAAAACCCAGAGGGGTGTGTGTATATATTCCTGTACATGCATGTGTAGTGTGACCTAAGTGTAAGTAGAAGTAACAAGACATACCTGAAATCTTACATGTTTATGAGACAAAAAAGACACCACCAATCCTACCATCATGTAAAACAATTACAAATTTTTATTTTACACTCACTTGGCAGGACTTGTACCTTTCTGGGTGGTTGCTGTCTACCAGCCTACTACCAAGAATTATTTTTAAATATTTTTTTAGTACAAGTCTTGAAAGTGCAGCAATATAGAATATAACTACTTTTGTTTATTCACTTATTGCTTGTGGACTTTTGAATTTTATGTAGCTTATGATATTTGAATTAATCTAAGAAAGCTAAAGTATTTAATTTGATCACCTGGTATTTCTTAGAAAGATCTCTTGAGGGGATGTGCCTTGCTGCTGGTATTATTGTGGTATTATGGAGGTAACCATTAGCCTGACTCCTGGTGTTGCGAATTTACATAATGTATTTTTTTTTTTTAACACGTTGGTCATCTCCCACTGAGGCAGGGTGACTCAGAAGAAAGAAAATCCCCAAAAAGAAAATACTTTCATCATCAGTCAACACTTTCACCTCACTCATAAATAATCACTGTCTTTGCAGAGATGCTCCGATACAGCAGTTTAGAAGTCCCTCCAAACTGCTAATATCCCAAACCCCTCCTTTAAAGTGCAGGCATTGTACTTCCCATATCCAGGATCTGGTCTGGCTAACTGGTTTCCCTGAATCCTTTCACAAAATATTACCCTGCTCGCACTCCCACAGCTCGTCAGGTCTCAAAAACCACTCGTCTCCATTCACTCCTATCTAACAAGCTCACAAATGCTTGCTGGAAGTTCGAGCCCTTGCCTACAAAACCCCCTTTACCTCCTCCCTCCAATCTTTTCGAGGACAACCCCTGCCCCACTTTCCTTCCCCTACAGATTTATACGCTCTCCAAGTCATTGTACTTTGATCCATTTTCTCTAAATGACCAAACCACCTCAACAACCCCTCTTCAGCCCTCTGATTAATACTTTTAGTAATCCACACCTCCTCCTAACTTCCACACTCTGAATTCTCTGCATAATATTTACACCACACATTGCAATAGACAGGACATCTCCACTACCTCCAGCTGCCTCCTTGCTGCAGCATTTACAACCCAAGCTTCACACCCATATAAGTGTTAATACTGCTTTACTTTCATACATTCCCTTCTTTGCCTCTATGGATAACATTTTTTGTCTCCACAAATACCTCAATGCACCACTCACCTTTTTTCCTTCATCAGTTCTTTGATTTACCTCATCCTTCATAAACCCATCTGCTGATAAGTCAACTCCCAAATATCTGAAAACATTCACTTCTTCCATACTCCCTCTCTCCAATGTGATATTAAATTTTTCTTTATCTAAATCATTTGACACCCTCATCACCTTACTCTTATCTGTGTTCACTTTCAACTTTCTACCTTTACACACTACATTTTTTTTTTATTTTAACAAGTTGGCCATCTCCCACCGAGGCAGAGTGACCCAAAAAGAAAGAAAATCCCCAAAAAGAAAATACTTTCATCATTCAACACTTTCACCTCACTCACACATACATATACCTACATATACACTGATGAAAGTATTTTCTTTTTGGGGATTTTCTTTCTTTTTTGGGTCACCCTGCCTCGGTGGGAGACGGCCGACTTGTTGAAAAAAAAAAAAAAAAAAAAACACATACCTCACACTACATATAGCAATGAAATCACAAAACACGTGATTTTGAATCATTTACCAAACTGCGGCAGGCCAGGGCTCAAACCCACAACACATTGTCCTGCCTCAAGAGACAACACAACGTACATGTCAACTTACCACTGTAGGATTGCTGGCTCAGTGGTAAGGTGACATGTACGTTGTGTTGTCTCTTTAGGCGGGACAATGTGTCGTGGGGTCAAGCCCTGCCCTGCCGCAGTTTGGTAAATGACACTACACACATGTATGGCAGAAGGTGTTGTTTACAGTAGATGATTTGTGGCAATTAAGTTTTAATAGCATTATTTTATATTCTTTCTTACAGATTGTGATAATCTTATTCGTAAGATGTTACAAGTAGACCCTGAGAAGAGAATAAATATAGAACGGATAATGCAACATAGATGGATAACAGTGGTAAGTTATTATTTGTTTCATGGACAACAATGGTAAGTTTTCATTCATTTCTGCAGACACGCTAGTAATAGTAAGGGTTTCTGCTTTTCTTTCAGTGCTAATGAAACTTATGAGTTGTTTGATGCATGAAGTTCCTGTAGGAGAGGCAGTTATTGACATTGGTGCAGTATTATTCTGTAGATGGGAAGTTTACAAGTTTGTGACCAGTTTGAGGTGACAGTGAGCAGAAGACTTATGTATGAATCATCATTTCATTAACAAACTTAATCCTTGATTTTAATACATTGTATATTGATGTTAATGTTTTTATTATGAACTTTTACCCAACAGGAAGGTCTAGACCCTAAAATTGAAGAAATCCTCCAGTACTACAACACACCGAAGTCTGAACTTCCCCCACCTGACAACGACCAGGTGCTAGAGCACATGATGCACATAATACCCGACTTAGATAGAGAAAAAATATTGCAGGTGAGGGATGTGAGTTTTTGGATTGTGTTGATCACAAACCTTTGTCCTGTGTGCTCATGCACACTGCTGATCATAGAGACCACAGTCACGTGTGCTCATGTACGCTGCTGTTTACAGAGACCTGTGTCGTGTTCTCACGCACACTGTGGATCACTGAGGTCTGTGTCCTGTGTGCTCTCACTCATTGTGGATCACAGAAACCTCTGTCCTTTGTGCTCACACACATTATGGATCACAGAGACCTTTGTCTTGTGTGCTCATGTACACAGCATACACTTGAAGGACAGTCTTATGTTTGATGTTCCATACAGCTTGCATGTTTTCTCTTTATTATTATTAATAGTTGCAAGTGTTTAGTGCCTATGTCTCCATAACCAATTTTTTTTTGTATTTTGTCAACATTAGTGCTAAAGCAGCTCACCTAAGTATAATTCATATTTTTTAAGTCTAGCAATAAGATATCTGATGTCATAGGCACTATACTGTACAGTTTTTTTTGTTTGTAAACTGTTAATTTGTGGTTCTAAACCTCACCTGTTTTGCAAATATTCAGGAGTGTTAGCTGCATCCTTTGATTCTAATGAAAACCATATAAAAATCTTCAGGTACTGCTTTGCATGCTGAAAAGGACATTTTATTTTTAATAATTAAAATATTACTTAACTTTTGTCATTGCTTGCTTGTTTATATTTGGAATACTCGGCCAGTTTGACAGCGTACACGTGAACGTTATAAAGCCACAGTTACAGGAACAAAGATGAATAATCGATATTATTATAAAAAGGCACATGGCCTCTACAACTGGAGAATGTGATGTGGTTAATGTTACTGGTTCTTTGTCTTTGTTAATAGTATTTTTTATAATTTTATATTACATTGTGAGTTTACAAGTGCCCATGAATGTTTCTACTTTTTTTTTTCAACAAGTCAGCCATCTTCCACTGAGGCAGGGTGACCCAAAAAGAAAGAAAATCCTCAAAAAGAAAATACTTTCATCATCATTCAACACTCACCTCACTCATACATAATCACTGTTTTTTGCAGAGGTACCCAGATACAACAGTTTAGAAGCAACCTACCATCCTGCAAAGATACATATGTTATTATATATACAAATCCCTCCAAACTGCCAATATCCCAGACCCCTCCTTTAAAGTGCAGGCATTGTACTTCCCATTTCCATGACTCAGGTCAACCTAAATCTATAATAACTGGTCTCTCTGAACCTTTTCACTAAATATTACCCTGCTCACACTCCCACAGCTCGTCAAGTCCCAAAAACCATTTGTCTCCATTTACTCCTATCTAGCATGCTCGCACACGTTTGCTGGAAGTCCAAGCCCCTCGCCCACAAAACCTCCTTTACCCTCTCCCTCCAACTTTTTCAAGGACGACCCCTACCCTGCCTTCCTTCCCCTACAGATTTATATGCTCTCCGAGTCATTCTACTTTGATCCATTCTCTCTAAATGACCAAACCACCTCGACAACCCCTCTTCAGCCCTCTGACTAATACTTTTAGTAATCCACACCTCCAACTAATTTCCACACTCAGAATTTTCTGCATATTTACACCACACATTGCCCTCAGACAGGACATCTCCACTGCCTCCAGCCGCCTCCTCGCTGCAGCATTTGGAACCCAAGCTTCACACCCATATAAGAGTGTTCGTACCACTATACTTTCGTACATTCCCTTCTTTGCCTCCATGAATAACTTTTTTTTGTCTCCACAGATACCTCAATGCACCACTCACTTTTTTTTCTTCATCAGTTCTATGTTTAACCTCATTCTTCATAAACTCATCCACTGACAAGTCAACTTCCAAATATCTGAAAACATTCATTTCTTCCATACTCCTTCTCTCCAATGTGATATCCAATTTTTATATATCTAAACTGTTTGATACCCTCATCACCTTACTCTTATCTATGTTCACTTTCAACTTTCTACCTTTACACACCCTCCCAAACTGGTCCACAAACCTTTGCGACTTTTCTTTAGAATCTCCCATAAGCACAGTATCATCAGCAAAAAGTAACTGTGTCAACTCCCATTTTGTATTTGATTTCCCATTATTTAATTCCACCCCTCTCCTCAACACTCTAGCATTTACCTCTTTTACAACCCCACCTATAAATATATTAAACAACCATGGTGACATTACACATCCCTATCTAAGACCTACTTTTACTGGGAAGTATTCTCCCTCTCTTCTACACACCCTAACCTGAGCCTCACTATCCTCATAAAAACTCTTTACAGCATTTAGTAACTTACCACCTATTCCATATACTTGCAACATCTGCCACATTGCTCCCCTATCCACTCTATCATATGCCTTTTCTATATCCATAAATGCAATGAAAACTTCCCTACCTATAGTTAAATACTGTTCACATACATGCTTCAATGTAAACACTTTATCTACACATCCCCTACCCACTCTAAAGCCTCCTTGCTCATCTGCAATCCTACTCTCTGTCTTACCTCTTATTCTTTCAATAATAACCCTACTGTACACTTTTCCTAGTATACTCAGTAAACTTATTTCCCTATAATTTTTATAATCTCTTTTGTACCCCTTCCCTTTATATAAAGGAACTATACATGCTCTCTGCCAATCCCTAGGTACCGTCCCCTCTTTCATACATTTATTAAACAAAAATACCAAGCACTCCAACACTATATCCCCTCCTGCTTTCAACATTTCTGTCATGATACCATTAGTTTCAGCTGCGTTACCCCCTTTCATTCTACATAATGCCTCATGCACCTCCCCCACACTCACATCTTGCTCTTCTTCACTCCTAAACGATGTTATACCTCCCTGGCCAGTGCATGAAATTACTGCCTCCCTTTCGTCATCAACATTTAAGAGTTCCTCAAAATATTCCCTCCATCTACCCAATACCTCTGCTTCCCATCTAACTCCCCTACTCAGTTTTTAATCGACAAATCCATTCTTTCCCTAGGCTTTCTTAACTTGTTTATCTTACTCCAAAATTTTTTCTTATTTTCATCAATATTTCTTGACAGTGCCTCTCCCACTCTATCATCTCCTCTCCTTTTCCACTCGCCACTCTCTTCACCTTTCTTTTACTCTCCATATACTCTGCTCTTCTTATAACACTTCTGCTTTGTAAAAACCTTTCATAGCTACCTTTTTTATTTTATCACACCCTTTTCTTCATCATTCCACCAATCACTCCTCTTTCCTCCTGCACCCACCCTCCTATAACCACAAACTTCTGCACCAATTCTAATACTGCATTTTTAAAAGTATTCCAATCCTCTTCAGCATACCCCCACTACTCATATTTGCACTATCCCATCTTTCTGCCAATAGTTGTTTATATCTCATCCTAACTTCCTCCTCCCTTAGTTTATACACCTTCACCTCTCTCTTACTTGCTGTTGCCATTTTCCTTTTGTCCCATCTACCTCTTACTTTAACTGTAGCTACAACTAAATAATGATCCGTTATATCAGTTGCCCTTCTATAAACGTGTACATCCTGAAGCCTACCCATCAACCTTTTATCCACCAATACATAATCTAACAAACTATTTTCATTACGTGGTACATCTTGTATACTTATTTATCCTCTTTTTCATAAAATATATATTACTTATTACCAAACCTCTTTCTACACATAGCTCAGTAAAGGCTCCCCATTTTCATTTACCCCTGGCACCCCAAATTTACCTACTACTCCCTCCACGACATTGTTACCCACTTTAGATAACAAAAAAAGGCACAATACCGTGACTGGAACGATACACAAATAACCCGCACATAAAAGAGAGAAGCTTAGGATGACGTTTCGGTCCAACTTGGACCATTGACAAAGTCACACTGTGACTTTGTTAATGGTCCAAGTCGGACTGAAACGTCGTCCTAAGCTTCTCTCTTGTATGTGTGGGTTATTTGTGTATTACCCACTTTAGCATTGAGATCCCCCAACGACAAGTACTCTTTCACTTGGTTTGAAACTCCCCACGCACTCACTCAACATTTCCCAAAATCTCTCTCTCCTGTACACTTCTCTCTTCTCCAGGTGCATAAATGCTTACTATAACCCACTTTTTACATCTAACCCTTATTTTACACCACGTAATCCTTGAATTTATACATTTATATTCCCTCTTTTCCTGCCATAACTTGTCCTTCAATATTATTGCTACTCCTTCTTTAGCTCTAACTCTATTTGAAATCCCTGACCTAATCCTATTTATTCCTCTTCACTGAAACTCTCCCACCCCCTTCAGCTTTGTTTCACTTAAAGCCAGGACATGCAGCTTCTTCTCATTCATAACATCCACAATCGTCTCTTTCTTATCATTTGCACAACATCCATGCACATTCAAACATTCCGCTTTGACGGTTTTCTTCTTTTTCTTTTTAGTAGGCTGTACGGGAAAAGGGGTTACTAGCCCATTGTTCCTGGCATTTTAATTGACTTTTACAACACACATGGCTTACGGAGGAAAGATTCTTATTCCACTTCCCCATGGATATGAAAGGAAAAGCAAAAAGAACAAGAACTATTAAGATAAAATCAAAGAAATCTCAGATGAGTGTGTATACAATAAATGTGTACATGTATGTGTAGTGTGACCTGATTGTAAGTAGAAGTAGCAAGATGTACCTGAAATCTTGCATGTTTACGAGACAAAAAAAGACACCAGCAATCCTACCATCATGTATAACAAATACAGGCTTCCTTTTTGCACTCACTTGGTAGGATGGTAGTTCCTCCCTGAATGGTTGCTGTCTACCAACCTACTACCTACAATATAGTATTTGTATCATTTGCAAATATATTCACATAGTTCATTACTATATTTCTTCTGGAAAGTCACATACAGTGCAGGATAAATAAATTTAAAAATTTTATCAGAGCAAGTGCTAATTCTCGTGGCAACTCTGGTGACTTCTCCACAAGGCCATTTTTCCTCTTATCGCTGTTCACTGGACCAATTATGCACCTCTGTAAT